TATATTTTTTTTTTTTTTTGATGTGTTCGACGTTTCAGGGCCGCAAACAAATTGTCGGATTTTTTCCGCTGTTCGCCGTTTAGTGTCTGTTTCATAACTATCATTATTGCTTTATTAGCATGTGTCAATCACATGCTCTACTAATAGCGAATTTAATTGCACATCAGACCATAATTCTTCTGGAAGCACAAAAGCACATCTAATCTATCAAGGTATGTTTCCAGCTACTTTTGTAACACCTTTCTTCGTTCTTCTCATGTTTTTAGGTCCAGAACAACCTATCAAAAATGCATCTGTTTTCAATGCTCTGCGCGTTGAATCTTATTGTTATTGGATTGTTAGCGAGCAAATGAACATTTTCTTCGTGCTATTTATTGCAATAAACCTTTTCCCGTATAGATTAATAAACCAGTTCATAGTTTAAGAATAGCTTTCAGTACAAAAGTAGTCGAGAAATTCGGGATAAAATCGAAAGCGAAAATGATCCTTAAAGTATGAACTGGCTTATACTGCTAGTAGTGCTAGTGGCTAGTCACTACTCATGCTTTTTCCTGTACACAAAAGCTTTTTCACACATGAGAGGCTAGCCATTACAGAACAAGTTATTCGAATTGGTCGCCATATTTCAATTCGGTGTAGCAGATATCAGAGTGACATTTTTCAGCTTTCAAACGATTGTTTCGAGTCGACGCATTTGGCAACGATAACGTTAATGATTAGAAACTAGTTCTTTACAACCATGCATCACTCCTCGTACGGGCTCTTCCGTTGAGCTCGTTCAACACACATTACCACTACATTCCATACTTACAACATACAACTGTCAAACTCAAATGTTCATTATTTACGGAGGGAGGAAAATCGGAGAACAACCCTCTTGGCAAGTGAGAAAATAACATATCAAACAAACTCAACTCACATATTATCCAGTCTGAGCCGGGGCTCGAACCTGGACCACCGCGGWGAGAGGCGAGCGGTAAACCACTACCCTACCAATGCAATAGAAATCGAGGCGTTGCCGGTCGAGGCTGACACTAGTTCACTGATCTTGATTACATTTGACTCCCTTTTGACCCAAATGCAACAATAATGTTTGAAGGCAATGTAGTGCAACTGTATCTTATCTTTTCAACTATTTCATTTTTTGTGACTATATTTTCTTTTTTTGTGGATCAATGATTTTAAAACTTGTGTCTCAAAGCTTAGTTAGGTAGATGATAGTTATTCCGGATAACTGCGCATGCACAGAATATAAAAATGTCGGAATCTTAGACATCTTACCATTCTCGTACCCAGCGATCCTCTTTTCGTTTCTTCCCAAAAGCCTCTTCGGCATTTGGTATAAGGCGGATACTGGTCTGYGTATCACCTTATTTAGTTCTACTAATTAAGTTCTGTAAAAAAATTGAATTTTTCAGGACCGCTTTGCAGTAAAGAAGCTTAAAGAATGGCCAAGAAAATTCTGTTGATTTTGGTATTGTGCATGGCCTCGGTTTGTCCGTCGAATGGCGTGGAAGGTAAGATAGGATTAATAGCACGAGTACTAGTGTAAATATGCCCAGAAATTTCGAATAGTCCTGCGCAGTAGGTTCTCTCGACCTTGATTCTGATCCAACCAAGTATATAGCATATAACTATATCGGATGCATTATGGGTAATGGACTCGCGGGATTCAAAGCGGGATTCAAAGTACCAAAGCGTGGGCTGGCGTTTTATTTAATATAAGTTACCTTTCAAAACAAACTCCGCTTATTCCAACCAGAAAAAGAATTTTCACCCTGCCTAGGACTCGACAGTCGGCGTTATTTTCAATATAAACCGCTGTTCATTTTGTGCACTTTTGAGTAATACAAACGGATTTAGTGCAATAATGATTAATATTCAAACTTTTAATCTCGTGAGTGAACTTGTTTTGCATAACTAAACTGCAAAGCTTTTAATAGCTTGAGCCAAGAGAAAGAGATATATATTTTTTTATAATTTGATATATTCATAAAGTAGTGTTATATCGGATATTTTAAAAACTCATTAATAATTCATAAGCTTATGGTCTAATTAGAGCCACCATACACGTTACGTGCATGAACCTTTATACCCGATAAAGCCCTCTTCATTAGTATTCAAGTGGTTTTATATAAAGACACATGTGATCTTTATATCAAGACCACTCGAATACTATGAGAATGAATTCATCAGGGATGAAGTATGCATCCAAGTTTAGAAGAAGACATAGAGCCTCATCAAGGCCATAGTCAACCCTAATGATCTTTGACTAACGTAACGTGCCTGTCTTTGCCTTGGCACGCAATATCCAACGTGTGGGAGCTTCTATTGAATCTGGTTGCGCATACCCGTGACGTCAAATCTCTATCGAAGTATAAAAATCCAAGTTCGTGACGTGTATGGTGGCTCCAGTTGAACCAAAATCTCATAAATTGTTCATGAGTGTTTTAAGCAGTTCAAAAAAACTCGTAGATCGTGTTTTATCAGGTATAAAAGCACTCGGCTACGCCTCGTGCTTTTATAACTGATAAAACACTCCTACTCGTTTTTTAAACACTACTTATAAACCTCTTTAGCACCAAACAATTTATAAGACAATCAAATTTTAAATTTTTATTTTTTATTTTCAAAATGCAGACATAAACAGTTTGACCTAAGAACCTAACATATGAAAGTTGGCAGTAACTTGTTTTTTCATTTTTTGAAAACTTATAAATGAACTATAAATCCTGAATATCAACAGGCAATCAATTTCAATATCTATATTTTTGAAAAAACAGGAACTGAAGCAGTTTGAACAGAGAACCTACTGCTGACAGTAATTTGATTTTAAACAAAACTGATAAACAAATAAATCCTGAACATCAACATACATGTACACACACCATTGACTAGCAAATATTAAATTTTCGAGCAATTCAATTAAAAGTCTCGTGTAAGAGTGGATTATTTTAAAACAAATCCATCAGCAAACTTGTATGTAGACTCTTTACTAAAAAAGAGATTAATATAACATTACTTAAATTGCAATTTATCCCAAAAGAGAAATGAAAACAATGAAATATAAACATATGAACTCACCTCGTGCTCGAAAAGTCAAGAAAGACAAATCTGCTGACTCATCAAAACACTGACTGGCTCAAATGAATGCCCAGGAAGCCCAATATTAGTTACAATAGAAGTTTGGGCTCCTGCCGTGCTAACAAGATAGCTGCCGGGCTGCCATTGTCAGCTAAGATTCTTTCAAAGGATTTCTGGCAATAAATACTGTGAAAAAGATTGATATTTCGGAGAATTTATGAAAAATAAAGGTAGGCCATAGATAGGGCCATAGGTAGGGGCATAGCCCGGGCCATGGCCTAGGCCCAGGTTTTCGGCACACCTTGATGATATCCCATAATTTTTGATATGCTTTTGATATATTTGAACATATATATAGAAGCGGCCATAATTTTTGCAAATGGCTGTATAAATATGTATATATACCCGCTCAGAAAAATTCTGCGTTTTCAATATATATACTTATATATATATATATACCTTTTGTTTTTCCATCAAAAGTTTTTGACAGGCAGTGCTTAAATGAACACAAAGAAACACAATAGTCATGGATTTGCTTTGCTCAGTGAGGTGAAAATTAGAACAACAGAAACTCTTATTCTGCGACCTATGTACATCTATTATGCGCCATCTTAAATCTTCACTGTAAACCATGTTCGTTCAAAGATTGCAATAAATAGTAAACAGATTTTGATAATCATGCTTTTTATTCACTCACTAAACAAACATAGGAGCCTGACAAATTTCTAATTTTCACCTCACTGAACAAAGCAAATTCCAAAAGTCTTGATTTAGTTTAAACTATATATACACTCGATTGCAGAAATGTTGTAGTATACATTTATACATTTATACAAATATCTAATGAGATGCATAATGCACAATAACCATTTTCAACGCTTAAAACCTTTATTGCAGAGAGGTTTAGAGTATACTTACACATTTATACAAATACCCAAAGCTTTCGCAGGTGAACTTAAATGATTGTAATTCTTTAAAACAAAATGCCTCGCTCCTTTCATCCCTCATTAAGGATGGATTTTCTTGATCATCTGGAATACTATATTTCAATTTCAGTCAAGACCAGGGCCAGGCCATGCTATTGTGGAAGTCAGTATAAGGGTACGTCGCTAGACCCAAGATATCATCCAGGGGATCATTGGTTTTGGAGAGGTTCCTGCCCAGGTGGACATGGCTACAAAAAATCTTGCAAACTGACCTGGGGGGATATTTGTTGTTTCCCAAGAACATAATAACAGGTTATAGATAAACTGAAGTTAACTAGAAGCTCAGTAGTTCGAAAAATGATAAATTGGTCAAATGAATAGTGATTAATTCAAAGATTCAAACTTAAATGTCTTCAGAGTGATAACTTCGAAGCAAGCATATGTTGTAATCATGAGCAAATGAACTACAAATAAAATCACAGGAACTCAAAAAGATGGTAGTTTTTGTGCTTTAAATAATGAAAATTAATCAAAATGCACTTCAAGAGACGAAGGCAGGATGCACATCGAATGTTGATTATTTCTCAATTGACAGGGTTTTCTTTGTTATTTACAAGGCTTTATTTTTGTTATAACCCTCATTATTAATAAGAGGTCAATATATATAAAGGTTCAAAACATAGGGCGAGGGCTTTCATTGAAATTCAAGACCGAGGGCTGCGTCTTGAATTTCAATGAAAGTCCGAGCCCGTAGTTTTGAACTGCTTTAATAACCAGCTATGCCCCAATTCTATTGTTTTAATGGGACAGGTCTTGAATTTCAAATTCAAAACCTGGCCCGGGTTTTGAATTCAGCCCCGCTCTCCCCTGCTTTAAGAATGTAGGTCTTACTCTGGGTTTCGAAACCTACATAAAACAATAGAATTGGGGCGTGGCTGGTTATTAAAGTTAGTTATTAACCCGGTTAATAACTATATATAGACTTCGCATTTATAATGAGCAACATTTGATATTAAACCTTCTCAATTGATAAATAAAATATCGAATTACCTCGAACGTCGGTAATAAGCATATACCTTTAAGCCCTGTAACCTAAGCTTGTATATGGATTATTACCTCCGTTCTCGGTAATTAACTCTCACTCTTTCTTTACAAAAATTTTTTACCTTGTCTTCAATTCTCCGGGTTTGTGGAGAAATAATTGTTTCTTGAAAGAAAGTTCGAGTTATTGATTCACGCAGGCAACATTCTTGCACTCTTTGATATCGATCAAAGCCGAAAACTGAATATACTACTAGAGTTCATGTCATGAGAGAGAAAATGATTAGTTTTACAAACTAAGCAAGACGTCAGTTTTCTAATTAAAATTACTTATCTTATAAAAACGAGATAAAGAATGATCAATTAACTATATCAAAATATAGATATAATATTTCAGCAAGGCTACCATCACACACAAGTGTAGATAATGGTATGCATTGAATTCACAAGTAATCCTCTTAGCTCCTGCTATTAGCATTTGTACCTGTAACCTGTGGTTACGTCCTACACACTTTGTACCCCTTTGCTTAGCTATTTTAGCACTATTCTCTTGAATCTTATGATAGGAATATTCCTTGTAGCCTTTTCTATACATTTACAATATATTCATATATTAACTTTAGCTTAAGCTATGTTTAATCCCAAGATATTTTCACTCGTATTATTCATAACGCATTTATGGCTATTTCAATAAGTTACCGACGGCAGCGAAAATCAAATTTCGGCGTGCAGCTTGTAACTTCCTTGTTCTCAGAAGATCGAAAACTGCAGTTTATGAGTAAAATTCATTTGGAAAAAAAACCTATTGAAACTTACTTGTTTTTATTATACGAGCCGTATCTACCCGGGCGCATTTTTGTACGTACTATTTGAATCAGCATTATTTACAATCGGGTTTGTTTATATGCAGCGATGTAGATTTTATGAGGAAGCATAAATGTTATAATGTTTCGTCCAGATACGTCTTCAAATAAAAGATCTATCTAATTATACTTATATAACTCAGAAAAAAGTAAACAAATTATTTGGTACCTACGAGTATAGAAAATTTCAGCGGCAAATATTAGAAAAAATACTTCGATTTTAAGAATGAGAAAAACAAACCGTGGTTCGGGCTTCGTTTGCGTTCGCCAAAATCATATCTGTCATCGCTGTGTTAACAAAGTGCCCTATGTACTGCCAAAATAATTGGATTATCCGAGCAGACGAGAGCACAAAAGAACCGCTCTTGCTTTCCTACCCCGGTCTATTTTAATACTGTACTGAAGGTAAATTTGATTAACTTATTAAAGGAGAGTAATCGCTAACGAAGCGACGCCGGCGCT